AATATTGATAACTCTCGTATAGAGTATTAGAACGAAAAAATTCATTTGATACTGAACTATTGGTTCTAAACCATCTCTGGCGATCAATCAACAATTTGAAATTCTGTTCTTGCATATTCTTCCTAAACCAGGGTTTATTTAGATATTTCCAATCAATTTTTTGGGTTTGGGAAGTCAAAAGTATCCTTGACATCTCTTCATCTGGAGAAAATTCTTGATGTGAAAATACAGATCCAAAAGGATCCTCTTGGAATAGCAAAAACAGTGGATCTGCGGGGTCCCAAATGAATTGGCTTATTCGAAAAAAGCCCTGTTCGTTGGAAAATCTCGCTCGTGTCTGGTCCTGCATGATTCCATCCTGCAAGAACTGCGAATCATTATCATTCTCTTGAAGCTTACCCTCTTCATCATAATCATCAAGGATCGGTTTGTCCTGAAATGACCCTTCCCAATAGGGAAATCTCAATTCATTGGACCCTTCGTCAAAGAGAAAGCCCCAAGGGCGCCACAGTCTCGGAGCCCAAAGTATGTGATTGAATAAATCCTCCTCTAGCGGTTGCGGGTCGAAGACTCCTTCCCCTTCTTCGAACCCCGATTCATATTTTTCATAGAGAAATCTCTGATCAACGATAGAAGAAGACCCATTTTGAATCATATTTAAGGGATTTCTTGGTTCGGACCGAAGAAGCAATGTCACGCCATCATTATCAAACCGACTTCCTGTCTGTGAGGGTTCCAGCAGAGCACCTTCTATTTCTAATAGCCCATGAACTAGATCAGAATCATTCTCAAGGAGTCTATAAGAAGTGATCCCATCATTTGTTTCATTAGGTCCGGGTAGAGACCAAAGATCTTGAGCGACCGATCCGGCAGAACAACTCAAAAGATAAAGAAGTATGGTTAATTTCTTCATGCTTGTTCCAAGTTGGAAGTACCATTTGTACAAATAAGAATCCCCCTCTGCACATGATTTCTTCTTCATATAGATAGATATAGGATCGATAGAGCAATTACTTAGAAGTAGATTTTGTGAAACAGCCCTCCCTATCTGATAAAAAAGGATCCCATGATCCTGAATCGATCTTATCTGAGATCTAAAATCCCAAGTTTGTCTATGAAGAGCAGATCTAATTATATTAGTGTCTATAATAGATTTCTTTTGTATAATACTAATCGATAGCGCCTCATTAGTAAGTGCTACAAGATCTCGTACATTAGAACCCAGAGTTATAGACCCCAATCCATTAGTATCGAATATTTGCTTTTCCAAGTGAAATCCCCTAGTATATGAAAGAGTAAAAAAGTGCTTTCTTTGTTGTGGAATAAGAAGCCTTCGTATCTTAATGCATGTATTTAATTTATTCGGAGCTATTAAAGCAGGGTCTACTTTTTTTGGAATATGAGTAGAAGCAATAACTAGAATATTTCTAGTAGAACCTTTTTCCGAATCGCTGGAAAGAGAGTTCACTAATATACCCAGCGATAAGTCATTCGACTCATTCCTATCCAGATCATGAATGTTTGGAATCCAAATTATGCAAGGAGACATTGCTTTTGCTAATTCGAATTGAAGCGTGAGATAAAACCGGTCTATTTCCATCAGATCGCTAGATACCGGATCCTCCATACTTAGAAACTTCAACTGGCTATCAAGCTTACGGTCGAGATCGTCACTATCATCCCTTTCATAATTCTCGGAATTATAGCAACTACCCTCGTTATTAGGTAAAAGACTGTAAATGGTACCCTCTCTTTCATCAAACATGTCGTCCTCACTATCATCACTATCAAAACCCTTAGGAAAGTTCTCCAGGAACTTGTTTACAAATACTGTAATGAAAGGAACATAGGTGGTTGTCGCTAGATATTTGAGCAAATAGGATCGTCCAGTTCCTATCGAACCTATCACTAAAATACCCCTAGCAGGGGATAGGGCTAAGCGTAGCGAAAAGGGTTTCCCATGAGATGATAAATCCAAACAACTAGCCCCACACGGGATTTCTGAATAAGTGATTGTCTGATAATGAGCGAGGAATACCCGTCTTTCTGCTAAGCAGGATGTATTGAACTCATAATTCATCAGATCCTTTTTATGAATGTCAATTAAATATCGTAAGTAAATTGTTCCTGGTTGCTCAATCATTTGATAACCAGAGTTATTCTTTGATAACTGATCACTATTAGTCAGACTCAATAAAATTTGATCCAGCCTTTTTTCTGTCGTTAAGGTAGAGAACTGAACCAAGAATTCTCTTTCTTTATCAGCAATGAAATCACTAGTCGAGATCCAGGATTCTATTTTATCATCAATCCAATTACTATTCATGTTTTTTCTTTTCCTTATCAATGAATAGATTGCTTTACTTGTATGACTTAAATGTCTCGTATTTCTCAAAAACGCGATTCGATTGATGGGATTTGGTATAATACTTATGAGATCCATGAGATTAAAACCGTTCTTCTTCGAACGTATGGATTTGACCCCATCAGCGAAACCACCACCCCTTGGGATGTCCCCGCCAGAAGGCCAACCTCGCCTTTCTTCTAAAAAATTTCCTAATTGTTCTCGAGCAACTCCAAAGATATCCTTTAACCAGAAAGAATTTTGTTCTGATAGAGGATACCTATCCAGAAGTTTTCGCAATTCAATGATGTAGGATGGAATCATCAAAGATTTGACCTGTTCGAACTCTGTCTGTAACTCATTAGAGAAGCGAGAAACAAAGAAAAGATGTGTATAAACAAGATATCCAGTAACAAGAAGAAGTAAAAGGATTGAAACCAGGAACTCCTCAATATTTCGTGATCTCAGATGTGTCGATATGAATGGTGACTCATTATTTGTGTGAAAAAGATCTTTGTACATGTCTACAAGAAAATTATGGAAAGACTTACTCGAAATCTCACTTATACGATTCCGTTGTGAAAGACACAGTTTTTTCCGAAGAATTCCCCACAGTTTTTTCCGAAGACTTCCCTTGGATCCATGCATAATATTCTGCCAAATAGATACAAATTTTTTAAATTGAGGACTCCTCCTTAGTATCGCAAATAGGTCTGAAAGAGTATCTAAAAATATGAAATTGATATATTTGTGCCCTGTCCAGGTAAGGAACAACGGTATTATATACGGGCGTAATCGCTTCAATTTGGAGAGAATTGAAGAAATACTCTTTCTTTTTCTTTTTCTTTGAAAGTTTCTATACATCTGCCCTTTTCCAAGGAATTTTTTTAGAGGTTTTTTCCTCTTTGCGGATGGTATAAATTTTTCAGAATATAGAGTGTCAAGCAAACCCAAACCCATGTTTGAATCGAAATCAAGATACTGATGCAAGTTCTTCCTTTTTGAATCAGATAAATTAATAGGGGAAAGAGGTTGACAAGAAGTTCTTTCCAAATTCACTATTTCTTCCTCTGTTAGAGGTGTTCCAGAAATGTCCGCGATCGAGTAAATAGATCTAGGAACACGAGTTGAAAAATGGAAAGATTTGTACAAGTCATATCCGTCATCACCACTTTGCGGAAAATTCTTCGGTCTCAATATCTTAGAGACCTCTAACTCGCTTGGTGAAATAGTATCTCTGTCCAAAAAAGCATGTGTTTTTTTACCGCCGCACAAAGAAAATCTTTTCTTTCGAATGAACAAGACATTGAGGAATTGTTCATACATAAAATCATAATTATAGGACCTTTCCCCATAAAAAGAGAATCTTTTGTTACAATCGAAAGAGAAGTTATATTGATTATTCAAGAATCGAAGTCGATTTACTTTATAAAAAGAGGAAATCAATGAACTTCTATGAAAACATTTCACAGGATTCAGCCAATTGTCTTGGTTTGGTATCTTATTGAACAAAAATGGTAATATTGTTCCTTCATTGATCAAGAATTTTGATTTTTGAGAAGTATAATAGTCATCCAATAATGGGGATTTCCTTTTTTTCAAATGAACCGTTTGCAGACCTATTGATTCTAACAACTGATTCTCGAGTGCATCATTCATACGTTTCAATTCATACATATGGCTCTGGGACCTATGAACGGGCATACTCCCGAAACTCACAAAGAAAAAAGGAAGTGAGTTAGACAAAAAGGGAAGAAGCTTGGACAAAAAGAAACAAAGTGACTTAGAAAAATCTTTTTTGTCGATAACCTCAGCCCAATCAATCGAATATGCATTCATATGTAATCGATCGAACACTACTTTAAAACGACTATTCTGCTCAGAAATGAAATGGTCCAAATGTTCCTGGAAATTTGTGCTCCCCTTGGACCATTTGTATTTATATGCATTTGGATCCTTATTCACGGATCTCTCGGTTCGATAAATAAAAATAAGACGATCAAAGCATTTCTTCTGACTCTTTTTCAAATTTGAGAAACGTTGATTGATCGTGTGTTTCCTTATAGGTCTATGATTCAGAATATCATTTTGATACCTTTGAAGTACATATTCGAAGTTGCGATTGAATCGATTACCTTGAAAATAATTCCCACAAGAGGTCTGGACCCATTTTTTTATGATCTTTGGATAAAAAGATTCATTCGCTTCGTCAAAAAGCCGCGGCAGAACCAATAAAGATTTTTTTTTTGATTCCGGTTCAGAAAACCCAATAGAAAAAGAGAATCCATTACGATAGACCAGATCCGGCTTAGTTAGTGATAGATTAAATAGATTTGCCATTTCTTGAAATCTCTCTTCTGATTGAAAATTGCGATGTAACAAGTACCCCCCCCTATTCTGGTCATGGAATAGATGAAATAAACCAAAAACTAGATTTTTGGTCAAGAATGAATTATTATTTTGAACTGTCAAAAGTTTCTCCTTTGCAATCCTATCACATCCTCCATCGGATGAAATAGGATGAATTGAGACATTATTTTGTAAATACATGATTATCTTGACTATATTGGCTAGTTCTTTCTTTTCCAATTTCCTCCAAAGAACAAAAGAAACATCTTCTTCTTTCTTTAATAATTGAAGATCTTGAGCGGACTTCTCAGTAGGATTCAAATCCAGATGAAGTTGGGACCATCTGTCCGAGAAAAAAGAGCGATCAGAGATCTTTTTTTCTTTTGGACCAGACAGGAGCGGAACAATCAACCTATTGATATTGAACGAATCTTTTGAGTCTTCCAATCTATCATTGCCGGATCCAATGGAATTTATTTGTATAGGAAGAAGCCCTGTCAAATAAATATTTTTTTTTTCGATCATCCTTCGATTGTTAATACGATATAGAAGGATCGCTACTACAAAAAGTACTACATTCTTGATCGTGAAATATCGATTTCTTGTTAAACCCTGTGACTGACGTGAAACTAGGATACTCCAAATTCTGGAGTCTAAGACTTTTATCAAACTCTCTTGATGCAAAAAAATGTGAATGACAGATATCGCTGAATTGAATTGCGTCCAGGAATCTAAGAAATAGGCACAATTCTTGCTCTCTCTAAAAATTTCTCGCAATTCGAAAATCCAAAAGTGGAATTGATTGTTCTTCATAGGATCCTCCTTAAAAAATTAAAAATAATTTATCTCTTTATGTATGTATTTCTATTAAGTTATTTATTTATGTATGTATTTCTATTAAGTTATTTCTTTATGTATGTATTTCTATTAAGTTATTTATTTATGTATGTATTTCTATTAAGTTATTTCTTTATGTATGTATTTCTATTAAGTTATTTCTTTATGTATGTATTTCTATTAAGTTATTTCTTTATGTATGTATTTCTATTGATTTATCCAAAAGATTTCACTTCAATTGAAATTTGGTTATTCATCAAGTCGGAGGGTTGTTCCCTCGAAGCATCCATGGCTGAATGGTTAAAGCGCCCAACTCATAATTGGCGAAGTCGTAGGTTCAATTCCTACTGGATGCATGCCAATAGAAATATCTCCCCTAAAAACTATATTTTTAATCATGAATTATTATTTTGAACTGTCAAAAGTTTCTCCTTTGCAATCCTATCACATCCTCCATCGGATGAATATAGGATGAATTGAGACATTATTTTGTAAATACATGATTATCTTGACTATATTGGCTATTTCTTTCTTTTCCAATTTCCTCCAAAGAAAAAAAGAAACATCTTCTTCTTTCTTTAATAATTGAATTTGAAAATAATAGAAACTTCAAGAATTGATCATTTCTAAATAAAGAAAGAATTTCTTTATTTATTCTATTTAAATAATTTCTGATCTGTAGTAGACCTCTTAGCTTAGTAGTATTTGAATCGAGACTTGGATCTGTATCAATGGAATCTCATCATCCATACATAACAAATTGGTGTGGTATATTCAAATTTTAATAAATGAACAGTAAAAAAACTAGTATTTTTAGTGAGACTAGAACTCATCGGGAAGAAAGAATAAAATAGATTTATGAATGGAATAAAATCTGCAGTATTTACAGACACTAAATTTTCGTTATTTCGAAAAAATCAATATACTTTTCATGTCAAATCAGGATTAACTAGGACAGAAAGAAAACATTGGGTCGAACTCTTCTTTGGTGTCAAGGTAAGAACTATGAATCAACTCGCAATCCCAATAAAGGGTAGAAGAATACGACCTATTATGGGACATACAAGGCATTACAAACGTATGATCATTACGCTTCAACCGGGTTATTCTATTCCACCTCTTAGAAAGAAAATAACTTAAATAAAAATACACTTCATAACATGGCGATACATTTATCCAAAACTTCTAGCCCGAACACACGCAATGGAGCCGTAAACAGTCAAGTGAAATCCAATTCACGAAATCGTTTGATTTCTGGACAGCATCATTGTGGTAAAGGGCGTAATGCCAGAGGAATCATTACCGCAGGGCATAGAGGGGGAGGTCATAAGCGTCTATACCGTAAAATTGATTTTCGACGCAATGAAAAAGACATATATGGTAGAATTGTAACTATCGAATACGACCCTAATCGAAATGCACACATTTGTCTCATACACTATGGGGATGGTGAGAAAAGATATATTTTACACCCCAGAGGGGCTATAATTGGAGATACCATTATTTATGGTACAAAAGTTCCTATAAAAATGGGAAATGCCCTACCTTTGAGTGCGGTTTGAACTATAGATTTACGTAATTGGAAGTAACCAATTAGGTTTAAGGCGAAACCTAGAAATCGATCACTGATCCTATTTGAGTACCTCTACAGGATAGACTTCAACAGAAAACTGAAGAGTAACAGCAGCAAGTGATTGAGTTCAGTAGTTCCTAATATAAAATTATTGACCCTAGAGATATAGTAATATGGAGAAGACAAAATTGTTTCAAGCACCGACAGAACACGAAGTGCTCCTCGTTTCAAAAAACAAAGGGGGGAAGACACAGATTATTCACATTTCATTTGATGGTCAAAGGCAAATTGAAAGCTAAGCAGTGGTAATTCTAAGGATTCCCCCGGGAAAAAATAGAAATGTCTCCTACGTTACCCGTACTATGTCTAAGTAGCAACGTAATTTCATAGAGTCATTCGGTCTGAATGCTACATGAAGAACATAAGCCAGATGAAGGAACAGAAAGACCTAGGATGTAGAAGATCATAACATGAGTCATTCAGAATATTTGGATTCGTATATTATATATCCACTCATGTGGTATGGTACTTCGTTATGTCATATATAATATACGAAATAAACGATATATAAGATGTATCTGTATAGATATTCTAATCTACATCCAGAAAGCCGTATGCTTTGGAAGAAGCTTGTACAGTTTGGGAAGGGGTTTTGATTGATCAAAAAGACGAATCTACTTCAACCGATATGCCCTTAGGCACGGCCATACATAACATAGAAATAACACTTGGAAAGGGTGGACAATTAGCTAGAGCAGCGGGTGCTGTAGCGAAACTGATTGCAAAAGAGGGTAAATCAGCAACATTAAAATTACCTTCTGGAGAGGTCCGTTTGATATCAAAAAACTGCTCAGCAACAGTCGGACAAGTGGGGAATGTTGGGGTAAACCAGAAAAGTTTGGGCAGAGCCGGAGCTAAACGTTGGCGAGGCAAGCGTCCTGTAGTAAGAGGGGTAGTTATGAACCCTGTAGACCATCCACATGGGGGTGGTGAAGGGAGGGCCCCAATTGGTAGAAAAAAACCCTCAACTCCTTGGGGGTATCCTGCACTTGGAAGAAGAACTAGAAAAAGGAAGAAATATAGTGATAATTTGATTCTTCGTCGCCGTAGTCAATAGTGGATAGTAGAGAAAATAGAATTTGTTTCTTCGTCTTTACAAAAGAAAAGAGCGATTGACTATGACATTCTATGATTTTCTTTTTTGAGAGATTCTATATTTTAAAAAGAGATTCTATATTTTAAAATTGGAAATAAAATAAAAAATATAAGAGAAAAAATTCATTTTTTTAGAAATTTTAAGAGGAATAATTAACTATGACACGTTCACTAAAAAAAAATCCTTTTGTAGCGAATCATTTATTAAGAAAAATAAATAAGCTTAACACAAAAGGAGAAAAAGAAATAATAATAACTTGGTCCAGAAGATCTACCATTCTACCTACAATGATTGGGCATACCATTGCTATCCATAATGGAAAAGAGCATTTACCTATTTATATAACAGATCGTATGGTAGGCCATAAATTGGGAGAATTTTCACCTACTCGAAACTTCCGAGGCTTTGCGAAAAATGATAATAGATCTCGTCGTTAACATTCATTTTAACATAAATTTAGTAATAGTCATTAATAAATATTAATTAATAAATTACTCAAAAAGAATTGTATTATTCTGCAATCAAAAAAACAGATTTTATTTTTTCGTGAAAATAGAACCAATACAGAGAAATATAACCCTTTGTTCAAAAAATATTTTTGTCTATTCACAACACAAAGCGTGAATGGTAATTAATAATATTCAAAAATTGAAAGGGTTATTATAATAGAACTAATGCTTTGCAGAAAAAAAAAGATATATCAAGATATTAAAAAAAATATATATATATAGATATAAAAAGTAGACAAATCAGACGTATTATTTTATATAGAGTAGTGAGGGATTATGGGACAAAAAATACATCCGCTTGGTTTCAGACTTGGTACAACTCAAAGTCATGATTCTATTTGGTTTGCACAACCAAGAATTTATTCCGAGAATGTAAAAGAAGATAAAATAATACGAGATTGTATCAAGAATTATATACAAAAAATACAAAAAACAACAACCGCTGTCGATGGCGAGGGAATTGGACGAATAAAGATTAAAAAAACACGCGATCTGATTCACGTGATAATCAATATGGGACTTCCAAACCCAAACTTAGTAATAGAGGATAACCCTGAAAGAATGGAAGAATTACATACTAATGTGCAAAAAAAAATAAATTGTGTGAACCGACAAATCAACATTGAAATTACAAGAATTCCAAATGTTTATAGAGACCCGAATATTCTTGCAGAATTTCTAGCCAGACAATTAAAGAATAGAATTCCGTTTCGTAAAGCAATGCAAAAAACTATAAAAAAATTCGCTGAAGAGGCAGGTGCAGGTACAAAAGGAGTTCAAATACAAATTGCGGGACGCATCGACGGAAACGAAATTGCACGTGTCGAATGGATCAGAGAAGGTAGGATTCCTCTACAAACCATTCGAGCTAAAATTGATTATTGTTCCTATCCAGTTCGAACTATTTATGGGGTCTTAGGAATCAAAGTTTGGATATTTATAAACAACGACTAATAACCTTTTCCTTATAACGTTCCATCTTTTGAGAAAACAAAAAATGACGAATTCTTACTACGTTCTTATTCTCAAAGAAGAAATGAAAAATTTTAAAAGATTAAATAAAAAAAAATTAATTAATCATTTTATAATGAAGGAGTTGCTATGCTTAGTGTGTGACTCGTTGGTTTTTTTTTAGAGTGGTTAATTTTCTACAAAAATTCGTCGAATTAATTACTAAAGAATAAATAACCTACTCATCGCTTCCCATTATCTGGATATAAAGAACCGCCGAAAATCTAAAATCAAAATAAGGATCTATGTGATGATATAATTATAGCAACTGAAATAAAAAAAAAAAAATAAGATTATTAGTTGTAAAGCAATAAGAATATACAGATAAATGAAGGGGTGAAAGAAAGATAGAAAAAGGATATCAATGATATAGAATTCTCCTATGTAAAGGTCTATGGGTCATCTCATAAAAAGTAGTGTAATAAAGCATCAATCTTCAAAATTCATCCATATATGGATGAATATATTCCTAGAATAAACGAATCAAGAGCCACGAATCAAGAAAACTGAGAAGGTTGATTCAACAAAAAAGAAGAAAATAAGAAAATAAAAAAAATGGAATCTTCTTAATTAAAGAGGCTCCATTGTAGAATTTAGACCTAACCATAAATTGAAAAGCGATGGGAACGACGGAACCTGTGAATACAAAAGATTATATTAAAATTTGAAATCTTACTGATTCATTAGATGGGATGGCGGAAGGAACTAAGAATTCATTCTTTTTTGA